ACGCTGATCCCATACCAGTGTGAGGTAACTATGAGATGTGTAATACATCAGCTACTTAGATGTGCTCCTCTTGGACATCTGACGATTAAGGGCACTGGCCTACTAGAAAGTATCATCTTCGGATCTTCTCAAAGTCTACGGGGAAAAAAAACAGTACTTGCCAGTGAAGCATATGGAAAGAGGTATTCCATGACTAAACTGGAATTACAATACTGGGATGTTACTCAAAGGAATTTGAGATTCTCTGTTTACAGCTGAAAACAATTCTTCTTTTCTTTCACTTGGAAGCCAGACTATGAGTGCTCAGAAAGTGGTGTAACTTTTCCTGGGATGATGGGTGCGCACTGCAGTCCAGGTTGTAGGCATTTGAAACCAGTTCCTCAGCTCCTCCTAACACCCACTGAAGTGAGAGCACCAAGGTTATGGCACAAATGAAGTTCTACTGACAGCCCCTCCAGTCTCTCTGAATTTGATTTTGATTTGCTGGTCATGTGCTCCACAGACATCCAGAAGCCTGAAGGCTTAAAATCTACTATCAGTCTATTTTATTACTTCTCAGAAAGTAATATCTCAATATTTCACCAATGGCTCGGCAAAGGCTTGATTCTTCAATGCATGTCCATAGCAATGCTGCTCTCCATCAAGAACTGTGCAGATAGGGACAGAGTAAGGGAAGGATACGTAGATTTCCTAACTTGACTTGTCAGCAGTTCTCTGGCATCAAATGCTGGTATTAAAGATCTGCAGGCTTACTTCCTCATGGCCATTCAAGGCCCCCACTTATTTTTCTGCATGCTGTACAAAAATCAAGGCTTAGATCCCTCAGCCAGTCTGGTGATCACAAATCTATACCTTCTGCTTCCCCTGTACCCCTCAAGACCCGGACTTTCTACCCTCCTGATTCACATTATGGGAATTTAGTTATTTTATTTCACCAACAGTTAACTAACAGCAAATACACAGTAATGTTTTACTGATCTTGCTCATACAGCATTTATTCAGTACTTCAGTTTATTTCAGAGCTCGGCCCAGTTAGAAGAAAGGGCTCCAGTAGCAGTCCCATGCTGAGGGCAGAGGTGCTGCTAAACTTTGCTGAGATTTTTTTCCCTAGCTCATCTTCTCCTCTTTCCTCAGGTTAAGAAGCTCTAAGGAGGCCCATTTCTTTTTCCCTCTTTAAAAAAGCAGGCGCTTTTAACACAGAAAAATTAATGCATTTGTTCAGAGAGCAAAAGCAGCACATGATCTGGCAAATGACTGTATTACATACTCAGAACTTCAGGACCACCCTGTTCATTTAGATCTATTTTAGTTTCCTTGTTTGGTTTTGGTGTT